CCTGACACAGGCCATGGTCTTTGCAATCAGTTGTTATGCATCAGAGAGTTGAACAATGACTAGGGAGGATAGAAGGAGAATTGATGCCTTTGAGTTGTGTTGCTGGAGAAGAGTATTGAACGTACCATACATACACACACACACACACACACACACACACACACATATGTGTATACATATATATATATATGTGTGTGTATATATGTAAGTATGTGTATATATATGTTTTTGTATTTGTGAAAATATATATATGTTTGTAGAATACATATGTTTATAGAATATATATATTTGTAGAATATATATGTTTGTAGCATATTAAGTGCCATCAAGTAGACTACCACTCATAGTGACTCTATAAACAGTAGCTCTGAACCCTCCCCTATCTTGAGCCAATATATAATTTTTTATTGTTGTCATGTGCTATCAAGTTGGAATCGACTCATAGCTGACCCTCCAGCGAGTTTTCAGAGGCAGTATGCCTTTGATTTGGCAGCACAATTCTACCCAATGATGATAGATACTATATCTGGTGGCCTAGTGGCAAGAAAACACGCTGCAATACCAAAGGCATGCATGTGGTTCAAGGCCACCAGCCGTTCCATGGGAGAAGGATGGGCAATCTCCTCCTGTGTGATTAACTGCCTCTGAAAACCCACCAGAGGATCAGCTGTGCGTCAGTTCTCATCCAATGGTAAACAACATATAAATAAATATATTATCTATACATATAATGATAGATATCATACATAAACTGTGTGTGTATACACACAGACAAATATATTATTTCATTCATATGGTATATAAGATATATACCATATATACATAATAAGTGCAACTAGTGGTCTAGTGGTAAGGAGCTGCACTGCCAATCCAAAGGCAGTGAATTTCAAGTCTACCAGCTGCTCTGTGGAAGAAGGATGAGCAATCTCTTCTTGTGCAATTTACTACTTCTGAAAACCTGCCGGAGGGTCAGCTATGAATCAGTTCTGACTCGAAAGTACACAACAACAATATACACATGTTGTTTTATCAGATTTGCCTATTTAGCAGATTAGGAAAGAAATAATGGGGCATGGATGGATTCATAAATTTGTTCAAGGTAACACAGACTTCTCAGAGCTTTCTTTAAATCACCATGAATTCGAAGGGTTGGAATATTATAAATGAGTGTTACCCACAGAATTTAAACCAGAATGCAAAAGATTTGAAAAAAGAAACTTGTGGGCCACAGGGGGACTTAACAAGAGAGAGAGTTCTCCCTTTATGCACATATACATTTTAACACCTTGCCTGGAAGAACATTTTCAGTTCCAAGTCACTTACCCAAATTTGAAGCTTGATTCGCTTTTCATTCTTAAACACAGTTTTTACTTTGAAATCAATCCCAACCGTGCTGACGAATGCAGACGTAAAGGAGTCATCGGCATAACGGAACAGGAAGGATGTTTTCCCCACACTGCTGTTGCCAATGATCAGTAATTTGAACATATAGTCGAAGTTCTGATCAGAGGAGTCTTTCTGGCCATACCTGGCATCTTGGGCAGAGGCCATCTGTGGTGAAAACAAAAGAGGTACAGATCAGTCTCCCATTTGAGATGAAGCTAGCGGCACACTCATTATTGGCCTTGCCAGAAACAGATGTCAGACCACTCAGGAGGCAAGTGGAGAGTGTTCCCCAGTCTTCCTCTGATGCTGGTATCCATGGCAATGATTCCCTGCTGGAAGGGAGAACAGCACGTCTTACAGCCCTTTCCAGCTGTGTTGGTGTTTGTCTCTGCTCAGCATTCAGAGCCAATCAAAGACACCAAAAGAAACATCTATAAGGGTAACATGAAAAGCAAAGATATGAAGAGTTGGCAGGCATGTAGGCCCTGAAACGTTGTCACCTCAGTCAAGGAGACACCAAAGTGGCTGCACAGCAGGATGTTTCTTCTTGAATGAGCTGAATTATCGGAGTCAGGCCTATTTCCTGGGGAAGCATGCCCAAAGCATCTATGTCATCTATTAACATCACATCCAGTTAGCATCCTAACGTAAGTGAGTCTTTTCCAAATGAATAACAATGACATTGACCGACAATTATAGTCCAAACAATGTACCATGACCTGGTATTTTCTTTCGCTCTCATAACAACCAGGTAATGTGATACTGTTATTTAGTTCTATGTTAAAATGAGAGACTGAGGCTCGGAAATATTAAATATCATGCTTAAGCTCACATCGGTAACAAGCAGTAAAGACCAAATTGAAATCAAGCAGTATAGAAGTTGGGCTCATATTTTTAACCTCCATAGTATATTCTCAACGAAGACTAAGAAAGTGAGTATAGGTGCTCTAAAAAAAGGTGTGGGGAATGATCACTGTAAGATGAATAGAGAAGAACATCTTCTAAATTCAAATATTAGCTCTACCATTTATTGACTATATGACCCTGGTCTGGTATTTTAAATTGGTATACTATGGCATTCTACCATATAAAATGGGTATATGCTAGATTGTAGAATGCTATATATATGCTCTGGCGTCAAAAACAACTCATAACTGACCTTACAGTGGGTTTCACAGGACACTTTTCTCTGAAAACTGCCCAACCTTTTCTCACAGCTCAGCTGACAGATTCAAATGGCCTTTCTTTGAGTTCGCAGCAAAACTTGACTGGATTGGCAGAAAAACTGAATCCACTAGGTTGGCAGCGAAACTTCTTACCATTAGACCACCAGAACCCCCTAATATACAGATACAAATTAGATGTAAATCTAACTTGAAACACTTGGGGAAATTATAGAACATGCACAGAGAGAGATAGAGAAGATACAGTCATTATGCACCATTGAGTCAGATTCAAGTCACACCTGACCCTCTGGTGGGTTTTCAGAGACTATAAAATGCATAGAAGAAGATTGCCCTTTTTTCTCCTGTAGGGCAGCTGGTGAATTAGAACCATGTGATTAAAAGGCAATGGTGATGGAGGAGGAAGTTCAAGCTGCTCTGAAGGAATTGCCAGAAAGCAATGCCCCAGGAATTGATAGCATACCAATTGGCATATTTCAACAAACAGTTTCAATCCTGGGTGCACTCACCAGGGTGTGCTAAGAAATATGGAGGAGAACCACCCGGCCAACTCACTGGACCAGATACATATTTATTACCATTCAAAAAAAAAGGTAATGTGACAGAATGTGGAGATAATTGAACAATTCCACAATACCACATGCAAGCAAGATTCTGGTGATGATTATCCAAGAATGACTGTAACAGTCCATTAGCAGAGAATTGCCAGAAGAGCAAGCTGGGTTTAGAAGAGGCTGCAGCACTAGGGAGATTATGACCAATGTTAGATGGCTCTTAGCTGAAAGCAGAGAGTTCCAGAGGGATGTTGACTGTGTTTCTTCGGCTATGAAAAGGCATTTGACTGTGTGGATCACAACAAACTGTGGCCAGCCTTGAGAAAAACGGGAATTCCAGAACACATAACTGTGCTCATATGAAACATGCAAACCAGGAAGCAGCAATCAGAACAGTGCAGAGAGACACTCCATGGTTCAAAATCAGGAAAAGCGTACATTACGGATGCATCCTATCTCCATACCTGTTCAATATACATGCAGAACAAATCATTTGGGAGAAGGACTTTATGAGGAGGAGTGTGGCATCAGGATTGGAAGAAGACTCACCAATAACCTACTTTAAAGCAGATGACACAATCTTGCTGGAACTGAGAGGACCTGGGGCATTTGCTGCAGAAGGTCAAGGACTGCAATCTTCAATATGGATTGAAGCTCAACATCAAGAAAACAGATTCTCACCATGAGCCAACTGGCAGCATTATAATAGATGGTGAAGAGATGAGGTTCTTAATAATTTCAGTTTGCTGGGTTCCACAAACAACACTTCTGGCACTAGCAGCTAGGAAATCAAAAAACAAGTTGTATTCAGAAAATCTGTTGTCAGATATCTCTCCAGAACACTGAAGAGCAATGATCTCAGTCTAGAGTCCAAGTTGTGCCATGGTCTTTGCAATTACTGTTATGCAGTAGAGAGCTGGACGAGGACTAAAGGTGATAGAAGAATTGATGCCTTTGTGTTGTGGTGCTGGAGTAGTATTGAACATACCATGGACCAACAAGAGAACAAACAAGTCTGTCCTGGAAGCTCTTTGGGCATGTTGCGAGGAGGGACCAGTCCTAGAAGAAGGACATCATGCTTGGAAGGGTGGAGGAATTGCACAGGAGAGAAAGACGCTGGATGAGATGGATTGACACAGTAACTGGGGTTGTGGGTGTATATGTGTCAGAAACAATGAGAATGGCTCAAGATAGGGCAGGGTTCAGAGCTACTGTATGTGGGGTTGCTGTGAGTCACAGGTAGTAGATTACCAGCCATGTGTGGCTAATCGTTACTGCACTGGAAAGCACAGAACCACACAATGCAGGAATTTCTATGGGCCTGTGCTAGGCTAATAAATTTTTTTTATTCAACATAAAAGCTGATTAATAAGTACAGATTTCCCTTGAGAGAAGGGAAAAAAGAGGAATCCTAGCAGATGGTAGAATGCTAGAAACAGTAAATAGTGCTCAGCCTCACCAAAGCACTGTCACCTAAATCAGGTGTATATGCATGCACATGTGTCTACCTTTACAGATGGGAAAAAATGGGGAAATAGCAGGATAACCTATTGTCTTTCTATAAATACTAATTGCCACCAAAATTATAATGCTGTTGTTGTTATGTGCCATCGAGTCGTTTGCGACTCATAGCGACCCTATGTAAAAGAGCCCTAAACGCCATTCTATCCTGTACCAACCTTGCTATCTCAAACACATTCATTCCCATCACTCCACTCACAGTATCGATCCATCTCATCGAGGGTCTTCCTCTCCTTCGCCGCCCTTCCACTCTCCCAAATATGATGTCCCTCTCTAAGGACCAGTCAGTCCCTCCTTGCCAACATGCCCAAAGTATTTCAGATGAAGCTTCAGAATCCTTGACTCCAGGGAACAGTCTGGCTTCACCCTTTCCAGGACAAACCTGTTTGTTCTCCTAGCAGTCCATGGTATAGTCAGCACTCTTCTCCAGCACCAAAGGCATCAACTCTCTTTCTAATCATCCCTATTCACTGTCCAACTCTCTGATGCATAGCACATAATTGCAAAGACTATAGCCTGGATCAGAATAGCATAAAGAAAGTCTATATGCATTATAAGAATTAAAAATAATAAAGATTCTAATTGCATTTCGCATCTTCTTATTATATGTTGTTGTTGTTGTTGTGTGATGTAAGACAGAAGCCACCCATAGCTGATCCTCCAGCAGGTTTTCAGAAGAAGCAAAAAGAACAAAAGGAGATTGTCCAGGCTTCTCCATTGGAGTAGCTAGTGGATTCGAACCACATGCCTTTGTGATTGCAGTACAATTTCTTACCACTAAGCCACCAGAAAATTTTCTCCAATACAAATACGTCTTAAAAAAAGTACAACCAGGGTGCTTCTTGAGGTCAAAGACAATAAAGCTTTGCCTCACAAATTTTGGGCACATGGCTAGAAGGTGCTATTCCTTGGAGAGGGACATCATGCTTGAAAAGGCCTCTGCCAGGAAAGAAGATCCTCAACCAGGTGGACTGACACGATGACTGCTGCAATGGGCTCTTGTGTGTCAGTACATGTAAGGAAGGCACAGAATAGGACAAGGTTCAGATCTGTTGTTCACAGGGTTACTAAGGGTCACACTCAACTCCACGGCACCTAACAACAACAACAGCAAAAAAGGTCACCAGAGCTTCCTTTATTATATGTAAGCTTAAGCAAATGCTTACACTCTTCTTAAGTCCACAGAACCCCACTAGTACTGGGCCAGCGAGTGTTTCTTTCTACTGTACATGTGGTTGCTATGAGAGTAACAACCACACCTATGTATACAGTAATATTTTTTAAAACTTTTGTACTGACTGGTTCACTTACAAATTTCATACACATTGTTTTTCACTCCAGTCTTTCCCATGGGGCTATTATTCTTGACTAAAAGTCGCAACAATAATGTCTTGTTCTGATGATTTCTGATACCCTCTATCGCCCAAGTAATCAGATGTTTCCATTTAGCACTTTCTGTAGACCAAGACTTTGCACCAGTGAAAACTCATTTCTTTTATTCAAAATTATCAAATTCATTTGCATCAAGTCAGAAAAGATTCATAGTTGATCCTCTAGCCTGTTTTCAGGAGGATGGAGATTGTATATGAAGAGATTGCCAATCTTTCCCCTAGAGTCACTGGTGGTTTTGAGCTGGCCAAGAGACATCACCTTTGGGTCAGGAGTGCCACCAAATCTCCCTTTTTTTCTTACAGAATTGCTAAATTCGACTTGCCTTGAAAATAAAGTCAACACCCTTTGTTTACAAGATCTTCTTACCATGTGTTATATGAAGTAGCCCAGATTCTGGATTCTGGATGAGAAATGTTCAGCTTATGTATGTGCTACAAACATATCCATGTACACAGAACATGCAATAGGGAGCAAAGTCATGAGAATTTCTTAATCATAGCTAAACATCCTGAAG